TAAAGTAAAAAAAAAGTTATATGAAAAATAGTTGAAATCATGAATCTCAGCTCTATAGTAACTTCGACCAATCCAGCCAGAAAAGTAGGTCCAATCAAGTGGCGGATCTAGCTCCTTCTTTTTAGGTGTTCAAGACTGAAATAAAATTCTAACTATTACAACAATATTGTGTAGTGCACTATTGCTACCATTTTGTCATCAATTTTGCAAAAACAACACAACAAAGAACCACACAGTCATGCACACAAAAAAACCATACTATCAGATCCGCTACCAACAAAGTAAGTTTAAATTATAATCCCACACCAATAAACTAAGCCAAAAAACTTACTGTCAAACCAATAGATTAAGCAAAAAAAAAGTAGTTTCACACCAATAAATTAACAAAAACCATTCTCACCTCATTCCTATTGCTCGTCCAATTACTCATTTATGGAGAATGAATAAAGTACCTAGTCTGCTAAGCTTCAATTTGTATACAACCACTAAAGGGATAAGGCACTAACAACCTAAGTTACCTAACAAAATATTTCCCAAGTCCAAAATCCCAATAATCTCTCAATCTGAAATTTGAGTTAACCATTTAGCGAAAGGCTAAATGTCTAAATGGTGCGAATTTGAGATTAGGTTTAGAAAATTAGTTTGTAATTAGTGGACAAGGAGGTTAGGAGGCAGTGGACTGGTGGACCCGTGGAATAGATCCAGCGAGGTCACTAGCTACTATACTCAAGAGCCAGAAGTTGAGACACCGAGTTACCTGCCAGCCCAGTGACTAGCGAGTAGCAACGTTGCGACACTGGTGATTGGAACTGGCAATTTGGAGGAGTGAGTTGCGGCTCCACGAGCTGCTAGTTGGGTGTGGGTCGGAAACTCTGGACGAATGAGGTGAGGTTTGTGCAAAACGACACCGTTTTGATATAAAAAATTGAAATTTTTGGGTGTTCATGTGAACACCTTTGAAAAGCATCAAGTCCGCCCCTAGTTCAATCTTACTTATTTTCAGAGTTACAACGTATGAAATAAAAAGTATGTATTTGATCAGAAAGTTGACTGATAAAACTAATAAACTGAAAAGCATGATCACTAAATGAGCTCTAAATAGCAGAAACTATAGTCTTACGTACGCCAATTCATAGTTTTCTTTTGTTCTCAACATTTTTTTCCCAAAAAAAATTCACATGCAAAACTAAAGTTTTCTTAGAAATTGAGAGAGCCAGTTTTAAACTTTTATAAATTTATGGAGGGCTCAAATATAAATAACTCATACTTTTATTTCATTTTAACGGATCATGTCCTCATGACTCATGAGCCTGTGCTTAGGATTCGTCACAATCGAGGGTGTTGTAATGTTGTTATGGTTATCCGATCCCCTCACCATCGCCATTAGCCTATTATATGAAAGCGTAACCAAACTTTTTATACCTCTCTTTATCGTCTCATATTTGTTTCATCCAACTAAGATGGTCCTATATCAAATTTTGTAACATTTGTGTAGTTCAAATCATTTTAACTTTATTCTTATTTTATCAATTCAATACCAACTACATAAATTCACTTCTCTTAATAACTACGTCACCTACTCATATCCGAATGTTAGTGGTATGGGCTCACCGAAAAAGTTGAACCAAGAAATAATTAGAAACTTGACAAAAATAAGAAAACAATATTTCATGCTAAAAACCTTGTTATATGTAGATGGGCCGAAATTACCTTTATTCTGGACCTGAGAGGTTATTTTCTAGACGAAAAAAGGGTTACATTGTAAACAACTTTGCCACTTGTACTTATCCTTATACCCACCACTTTGAGAGCTATTTTTTGTTTGTCCCGTTACAGACAAAACTGACATGTTTTTGTTTAAGGGCATTTTCACAGAAAAAACAGGTTTGTCATGTTTGTTTTGACCGTGCATGAGATTCACAGACAAAAAATAGCCTCTCACAGGTGTGCGTATAAGGGTGAGTATAATTGGGTAGGTACAAACAAAATTTTTCTTTTGTAAATGCACTTCTAACGTATACTTTCATGTCTAGATTGGTCCCCAAGACTTCCGTGTAAATATACACTTGTATTGCCAATTGGACGACCTAAATAAATTCCTTAATTAAAGAAATGTAAAAAATAAATAGAATAACTGATTTAATATATTGTGTGTCAAAATAAAAAACCATTTATTTTCCGGGTGTTGTGTGGGTTACTAATTATAACGCATGGGAGATTGAGGCACTTTTAAATCATGAAAGATTAATGAGTAAAATTTAATTATAATTGGTGTATTTGGTGTATTAATCTAGCCTCTTATTTTCACATATTTCTTTTGCAGATTGTGATTTAAATCACCGTGATGAAGTGTCATGTATGTGTAACCCTAGCTATCAGTTAATCGATCTATAGTATACCTAACAAAAAGTCATGTAAAGATAATAAACAAGAAAAGCTTTCTGAGTTAAAGTATGACTTTAAAGGCATTGCATCCAATGCAAAAAATGTAGAGCCAATTATAAGCATTCATCTTCAAAGTCTTCTTCACAAAGATAGATATGACACTTTTTTGGGCGCATCCTTCACTTTGAAGAGTGGTTAGTTCTACCTATTTGGCTATAAAGATATAGTACTCCCTGCTTTAATTATTTAAAGGATTTGTTGGGATTTTTGTCACCCTTCCACGCACTAGTATAACAAGGTGGCTTTGGGTAGCGATGTATTTCATTCCTAGCTAGAAGTACCATTGCAAATTTGCAATAATATTTACATAGACCTAATCATTTCATTGTCCTAGTTATTGTTGGGTCATTAAGGAAGAAAGAGGAGAAATTATGCTCTTGAGTTAATAGATGCCGATTTAAGAGAAGGAAAAATTACTATTACACCTTAAGATTGAGCATAATTATTAATTCAACTTGTATTATTAAAAGTCAACTAAATAGCCTTGAGGTTTAATTTGTCTAGACTCATTGCTCATCTCCCGCCAATATTAATATCAATTAACTTCATATAATTTTTAAATTTAAAACAGATGTCTAAAATATACTCCCTCCGTCGTAAACAACTTCTCACTTTCCTTTTTGGACAGTCCCGAAATTAACTTCTCACTTCTTCGCACTTCCTTATTTAACAAATTCTCTACATCAAAACAGTGTCAAACAGTGTCAAACAATGTCAAACAGTGTCCACACAGTGTTCAAACAGTGTCAAAACAATAAAAATCACTCCTGATAAGTTTATTTCCTTAATATGTGTGAAGTTAAACTGAGAAGTTGATTACGGGACGGAGGGAGTACTACATATGCTATTAAAATTCAAAATAGTTCATCATCATGTTATAAGTCATAATTGTTAGCTCATTATTTCTTTCGTATTTGTTATTAGCGAAATCAGATGATTGTGTACGTATGCCACAAGAGTAATACGTGCTTACATTGATCAAGGAGGAATCCTTATAGAATGTTTAGAGCAATGTTCTAGAAAACATTCATTAATGTATCTTAAATATTACTCGTAATTCCTTTACCTGAACTACTCTGATCTTAATAACATATCTTATACAAGTAGCTAAGTAGAATTAATAATATCCAACATATATATGTGACTAATAATTATGATGATAAATTGTTTTTACTTTTAAAATTATATATATTGAGTTATATAAAATCTAATTAGACCAATTTGACTTTAGGTGGCAAATAATAATAATAATCAAAACTCAAAGGGTAATTATTTAATTTTTGTAAATGAAAAGTTGAAGTCTTAATTAATTTTAACCAAACCTTAAGGGTTGTAGTAATTTCCCTTAACAGAAACCAAAGTTAACACTTCATTCCATCCAAATTCCAAAGTTGGCCATTTAGAAATTACATTTTTACTAATATAACCCCGATCACCCACTTTTTTGTCAAGTAATTATCTTGAATTCTAGTACTTGCCCCAAATTAATATGCGATGTCTGATTTCAAAAGTGAATTTAAATATGCATATACTTATAAAACCATATTGAAAGTTTTATACTCGGTATTGAAAATCAATGTATGACACAAATTGAGAGAATTCGTTTAATATAATCGTTTATTATTATAAGTGTAACAACACGTCAACACATGTGAATGCCGTGTTTTCTTCTCAATGTTGGACTCATTATTTATCCATATTTTGGAAAGTTTTGATTCTTTTTATTCATAATATAATATATATAGAAAAGGTTGTAGGATATGATTCGTTTGGCATTTTTGTAATGTTACTACTTTATCCAATAATATCTGAAAATTTTTATTATGCGTATATATTGATCTTATAACATTACACAGCCGAAGATATTCCACTGAAAATCAGTTGTTTTGGCCGATTCTGCTGAAATTTATGAAGTTCTGGCTAAAGTGGCTGCATTGGCTAATTCTACTGATTTAAGAAAAAATTATATATAAAATAGCTAAAATGGCCATCTACAGTAACTTCAGCCAATACAGCCAGAAAAGTAACTTCAACCTTACTTTTCTGCTTATTACACAATTCAGCACGCGAAAGCAAAAGTTACGTGTTTGGTGAAAAAGTTAGATGATAAGCCTGATAAGCTGAAAAACAATGTTGCCAAATGGCCTCTTAATTTTGCAATTTTAAGAGCTTTACCAATAGAAAGTATACTTTCTTGGTAATATTTTAAACATATCAGTAATTTTATGTGTTACTTTAACATTTGTCACAACTTTAAAACTTTAACAATTTCAGGGAATTCTTATTTACTAAACATGAATTTGCTAATCATGAAATAAAGAAACTATGCACAACTAGCTGAAAAGATACTTTTGTGAGATTTTTAATAAATATTAGCTTTTAGTGACTGAAAAGATCTTAAAGAGAAAAGATGGTAGCTGTTTTGTAAAAAATTGACTGTTTGATTTAGTTCGATTTGATATACAAGACTAATTAATACTAAAAGTCACGAGTTTTTTTCAGATGCTACTCCTTATAGCATCTCAAAAAAGATCTTTTAATTTTTGAAAAAATCTTAAAAAGTGTCATTACATACATTAAAAGTTTTTAGAGACTTGAACATAAAAGACAGAAGTTGCCAAACATAACCATAATCTCATTAAGGAAGAGCTTTACATATTCCTTTTTTATCACAAAGAAATGGGGTTGAAGGAAACAGTAATTTCTAGTTGAACTATCAATTTTTCATCATCTATGAAACAATGACCTCTCTTGGGAAGTGTTAGTTGGAAGCTTTTTTATTTTATTTTTATACTCCCCCTCCATTTACTCCTTCATACCCGGGTAAACATGATTGAAACCGGGTAAATATTTTTTTCAATCTGCTCCCTGAGAGTCTCTGTAATGCCTTTTTGGCCCCAACGATCTCCATCTCCGAGAGCCTCTGCAAATGTGCATTAACTCCGGCCGCCACGAGCATCTTCCGGCGGCCCTTGCTCCACCATCCTGCCATGATTGCTGACACCACCGCCACCGGAAACTTCTTCGACACCAAATCGTTCTCCGGATCCAGCATCTGAGAAAGCTTCATTAAACTCTTTTCATCCCTAACAAATCCCTCACGGTTTGACTTTGCGGTCAACAAGGAGACCAATGCATTTGTCGCTATCTCCTGCATCCCATCGGGCTTGGAAGAATCCATTAACTTCACCAGTCCATACATACAACCAGAAATTTCCCTCTTGTCCCTGTCACTGATCTCCAGATTCGCAAGCAATGAAGCAGAGGTGTACTGTGTCATGAGGTTTCCGTGCTTGATAAGATCTGCTAATTTGATGATAAAGTTGGATGATGATCCGAGATGTTTTGATGTTAAATCATCGAAAGTTGAAAGAGAATAAATCGCCTGCAAAACGTATCCGGAAGTATCCGAATTTGAAGATTCTTGTAACAAAAATCGAAGCAAAATCTGGAGCGCGTTTTCATTGAGTAACAAATCGCAGTAATATTCACCAGAAGAAGCCATGATTGCCAAGCAATTCGCCGCCTTATTTTGGGCCGAGGCCTTGCCTGAGATTAGTAATTGCAGCAAAACGGGAATAACACCTTCCTGTGCTAAAGCAATCCGAACATCTTCGTTGACTGATACGTTTCGGATTGCTCCGACGCCATGAATTTGTGCTGAAACGGACATCGATTTACAGAGGTCAATTAGGGCAGGGACTCCTCCATAGGCTGAGATCGCCCATGCATTTTCTCGAGCACTTGTGATGCACTCCACAGCCATGGCGGCCCTCTCCTTAACGGCAACCGATTCGGAATCGAGCATCCTAAGTAGTGGTCCCAACCCGCCTTCTTCAAACACACACTTGCACGCCAGATCGCAATCAGAAACCAGCATCGAAACGGCGATAACGGCCTGCTCACGAATTGGATGATCGGCGTTGGAGTCCATAAGATTGATTAAGCATCCGATATTCCCTTCCTGAGCCACAACCGTGGCAGATTTCTCGTAATCGGTGAGAAGCTGAACGAGTGACTCCAATGCCTTCATCTTGAACTCGACGCCGCCGATCTGGAGGCGAGTGAAGAGGTCTCTGACAAACAGGACTAAATCCTCCCGAATTGAGGTGGAGGAGGGGTGGGAGAGGACGATTGCGGTGGACTTACGGAGGACGCCGGAGCGGCAGAGCACGTCAAGTTGGTTAATCAGGTTGGAGAGCCAGCCGGCGGCCATGTCGAGGTCCGACTGCATCAGAAGCTTTCCGGGGACAAAGGCAGGGTCGGAGCAGTGGAGGCAGAGCGTTTTGACCCGGAGGAGAGTAGAAAGGAGATTGGGGAGAAGCATGGGGAGGAGGGCATTTTCCGACCAGTGAGGAGAGTCTGATACTTCAGAGATAAGGCACTTGATGGTGGAAAGCTTGGACCGGAGAACCTGCCAGCGAGAGGTGAAGGACTTGATGGAGAGAGAGGAAGCTAAAAGCTGCGAGAGGAGGAGGCTGATTTCGTTTAGAGTCTCCGCCGGAGACGGCGGCAGTTCGGTGCTAGAGTGCTGCATTTGCTGATCGCTGTTCATTTCTTCGCTCTTCGTCATTCTTAATTCAAGTGCATATAAGAAAGAGGAAGAAGAAGCAGATGAAGGTCAGAGGTAAAAGTGGAAGCGCGGAGGAAGATGGGCGACCCGGCAGCTGTGATTCGGGTGGCCAACTTTTTTGGGCGTAAAAACAAGAGCAGAGTCGTTACTTTATTAGCGGCGGGCAATGACGGGTATTGCCCACCGATTTTAATGAGCATCTGGAACGATTTACCGTTGGAAAATGCAAGTACAGCCCAACTATCAAAACTTACAAGCAAATAGATCCTTTTTTTAACACATATTTTCACTTTATCAACCCTATCAATTAATTTGAGTTAATTGTCCAGCCGATATTGAATAAAAAAAGGATGACACTTCATCCCTGAGGACCCCAATACCGACCGGACAGCACGATGAGAGGATGTAAATTGAACTATAATCACAATCTGATAGATAGAGAGTGAGATTCCGTTCCCGGTACTTGCAGAAGCCCTATGCATTTTTAGCATAGTAACCTCTCATCGAAGTTGTCAGGATTCGAACCCGAGACCTAACCCTTGTGGCACTCCCTCGTTACCAGTTAAGTTACGCCCACCAGTTCCAGCCGATATTGAGGACTCTTAGGGATGTGAGGTCATCTATTTTCAATATGTAACTTTTGATTTGACGTTTAGAGTTGTGTAACAATCAAAATAAATAATGTTGAAATTATTTTTTTGATTGATCTCTACACTAGGGGTTGACACAATATTTAAGGGGAAAATAGTAGGGGTAATGAATAGTGTAGAAAAAGTAGGAGAGAAGGTGAAAAAGTAAGAAAGAGAAGATAAAAGTTAGAAAAAGTAAGGGTAATTGTGTATTTTTAAAGGAAAAACTTACCAAATAGAGAAAGTGTAGCAACCTTTTAAATACATTCCAAAAAGGAAAGTGTAAGAATCTTTTAAATACGGATGGAGTATTTTCATACGTTTAATGAATTTAAATAAATTCCATATTCAATACGATGTACAATTTTTCCATATTCAATAGATTCAATCAATTTAATCATTTCATTAATTTTAACAAATTCACCTGATTCGTCTCTCTCTAGGGTTAGGCTCCTTAGCCGCCTAGTGTAGCTTTTCCCTTCCCAATTCGTTTTTCGGTTCAGCTTTGGCAGCAAAGTTGGTACGGGAACGGAGGTGGTGCAAATTGTTTTCTTGGTTGCTTTCGACAAGTGCAGGGGCCGCAATCTTGCTCTTTTTCTTGTTCGAGTTTTGAGTCCAGCGCAGGGCTCAGTTGCAGTGGGCTCGGCGATGTTTTGTTGAGTGCGACGAAGGCCTAGTTTTCGGATGAGATTTGTTATCTGCTTCGGCGAAGCGGGAAGGCAGATGGAGGCTTCAAACAGCTGGGCATCGGAGGAAAAAACAACTAGTGGCAGTTTTGCCATGAGAGCAGGACGAGGAGGAATGGACGGGCTTCGTGTGTTCCAGGTTTTGATCATCAATGGAGAATCAATTGGTGTGGTACTGAGGGGTACGGGCCCCCCCCAGAACCACCGCCAAGGGTTGATCTACGCGATTTGGAGTTTGCTTATTTATCTTTTCTGCATTTTAATTTTCAGGTTAAGACGTTTGTGTTTTGTTGTTATTTTATTTTATGTTGTAAGACTCTTGCATTAGGTTTGGGGAATGAGAGGTCTACGGTAATCATCCTTGGCTGTATGTTGCCCAATTTAGATCTAGCGAGTGATATTGCTTTGTCAAAGGTGATTAACTCAAAGTCTCGGCCAAGGGCGGATGATTACATGTGATTCTTTTGTTATCATGTACTGTTGAATGCTATTTTATTAATCTAAAGCCACTTTGACAGTAAAAAAAACAAATTCTATTCAACCAATTTTAATATCAACAGATACGACTATCGTAAGACTTGTAAGAGTATATTGGGCGTGTATTCCTACCATGACTCTTTACCATTTTAATAACACGTTTAAAATTGGAGAAAATCTACACCTACTTTGACGTATTGTTTTTTTTAAGCCACTTTGACGTATTGTTAAATAGGTAGTTTGTTCATTGAGATCTAAGGGTCTGCTAAATATTCAACCATTTCTACCTTTAGACATATAGGGACTATATGCGTATGCACATGAGCATACTCCATGTTTTCCAAATAATCTTCTTTTTATAATTAGGAGTCTTAGGACTTTACATTCCAAATCTCACATCAAAACTTGTCAATAATCTACGGACTACGAGCGCTCTAAAAATCCTTCCATTATCATCTCATATTTGTGTAGAACATGCCACATCAATATATCGTTCATCTTTCAAATATATTTCTCAAAATTAATCTATATTATATAAGAAATTGATCTAATTAGGACAAAAACATAGTGAATACTTCAACTTAGGACTTAATGTTTTAAATTCCCTAAATAGGACTCCGAAGAAATTAACACTTATGGTCCTTCGAGTTTTGCACTAATTCCACAATTAGTCTTCGTATTTCACTTTTATCCATTTTTGGTACCTCACTATTGTTTTCTTGACCATATATAGTCCTTTTCCGGTAGTAAAAATGCCTAGAGATGGACCGAAAATGGTCAAGAAAACAATAGTCAGGTACCAAAAATGGATAAAGTGAAAGATGATGACTAAATATGGAAATGACACAAAACTCGGGGATCTAAAGTGGAATTAATTCATAGGACTCCCTATTACCATTTTACCCCTGATATCAAATCCCTAAAAAATACTTGTATTTCTTTCTCCTGATCTCCTCTGCCTCCTCTTCGCATCGACCCCCCCCAGATCTCTTCCGTCTTCCCCATCGATCCCCCCTGATCTCTTCTGCATCTGTCCCGTGTCCCGTAGGTCTTCGCTTCCACGCTCCCCTGCTCAGGTTGAAATATCTCCAGGTAAGTAATTCTTCTTCTTCTTCTTCTTCTTCTTCTTCTTCTTCTTCTTCTCTTCTTCTTCTTCTTCTTCTTCTTCTTCTTCTTCTTCTTCTTCTTCTTCTTCTTCTTCTTCTTCTTCTTCTTCTTCTTCTTCTTCTTCTTCTTCTTCTTCTTCTTCTTCTTCTTCTTCTCTTCTTCTTCTTCTTCTTCTTCTTCTTCTTCTTCTTCTTCTTCTTCTTCTTCTTCTTCTTCTTCTTCTCTTCTTCTTCTTCTTCTTCTTCTTCTTCTTACTTCTTCTTCTTCTTCTTCTTTCTTCTTCTTCTTCTTCTTCTTCTTCTTCTTCTTCTTCTATCTTCTTCTTCTTCTTCTTCTTCTTCTTTCTTCTTCTTCTTCTTCTTCTTCTTCTTCTTCTTCTTCTTCTTCTTCTTCTTCTTCTTCTTCTTCTTCTTCTTCTTCTTCTCTTCTTCTTCTTCTTCTTCTTCTTTCTTCTTCTTCTTCTTCTTCTTCTTCTTCTTCTTCTTCTTCTTCTTCTTCTTCTTCTTCTTCTTCTTCTTCTTCTTCTCTTCTTTCTTCTTCTTCTTCTTCTTCTTCTTCTTCTTTCTTCTTCTTCTTCTTCTTCTTCTTCTTCTTCTCTTTTCTTCTTCTTCTTCTTCTTCTTCTTCTTCTTCTTCTTCTTCTTCTTATTTCTTCTTCTTCTTCTTCTTCTTCTTCTTCTTCTTCATCTTCTTTCTTCTTCTTCTTCTTCTTCTTCTTCTTTCTTCTTTTCCTTCTTCTCCTTCTCCCTCTTCTTCACTTCTGTTCTCTGCTCTTGCATTTTAGTTTAACTTTCTATTGATGTTTTTGTTAATCTTCTAGATTCAAAATGAAAATATTTTTAATTTGAAAAATTTTGGATTTGGAACTTTTGGATATGAAGTTTGAGGCTCTATCAACTGTTCGAAATTATTGGCCATGACAGATTGTCCGTCTATCAATTTTTATTATGTTCCTATGTCAATTTTTTTAAATGCCACATGATTGGCAATTTTTTTGAGACATGATGGCAATTTTTTGGGTGATGACAATATTATATGTTTGAAAGTCCATGATTTTAACATTTTTGACAAAATTGATGACATTTTTATGATTTTGAGAATGTCATGTTGTTATCTTAAAAAATGACATGTTTTTGCATCTAAAAATGTCATGTTTTTGCATCTAAAAATGTCATGATGTAATATAAAAAATGACATGTTTTTGCATCTAAAAATGTCATGTTTGTATCCAAAAATGACATGATTTTTCATCCAAGCCATGTTTCTTTTTATCCAGATGGGCATTTCTTATTTCTCAAAATGACATGTTTTTTGCATCCTAGCCATGTGAGGCATTTGCAATATAGTAGATCTGCACAGGAGATGACATATGCAGAGAAGATGCCGGCACCTCCATGGGATAATTCATGCCTCCATAAACTCCATTCAATAGGTGTGCAGCGACAGTCTCTCCTGGCGGGTAAGCAGGCAGTAGTCTCATTTGGCGGCGGCGGGTCTAACCTGGCGACGGCGGCGGTCTAACCTGGCATAGTGGCGGTTGTCTCACATGGCGGCGGCGCGTCTTGTTATGTAGCAGTTGCAACAGCTTTGATGTCATCCAGAGTGCACATGTGTTGCTGTGTTGGTGGGAGGGCGGGGGATTTCATTAATCTTTTGTTTTCAGGGTTAATTTTGTCCAACTACTGTATTTTAGTCCTACAGAAGGCCAAATAAACAGTGTAGTCCTAACTTTGCAATTTTCCATTGTTTTAGTCTCATTTAGGGAATTTACTCCTATTTATATTCATATTTTAACAAATGATTATTCTAATAGATAATCTTCATATTTTATACATACACAAATAATCTATTGCTACTTGTTAGATACACTAGTTATTTACACGCGCGTTGCGCGATGAACTAAATGCCCAATGTATGTTGTGAAATATGGCGTTTTCTATTAATTGTTGTGATTAAGCAACTAAATTATCAAACATCTTATGACAACCCGCCAACTTATTCCGCTAAGCAAACCTACTGATTGAATCTGTTATTGACAACACCGCTAACATAATCCGTTATCCACTAACAGCTAACCGCTAGATGTCAAACACGACCACAATATTATCTTCTACATATCATATAAATATCAAATCATATAAATATAAAGTAACGTAAGAAAAATTGAAAATGCAAAAATAAATGAAAACATAAAGTGGAAATGATTGTTATTCAACATATTCTTGGTACTACGTATGTAAGGTTGGAATCT